AAACATCAACTCTCTTGTGACTGGATTTTTCTTATGTTGAGAATAGATGATGAGAAAAATCTCATTTAGCCTTGCATTCTAATGCTTCATTTGATAAACTTGGCTTGACATTTTATTTCAAGACCATTGTGTGTCTGCTGGTAGCCATTTTGTTGGAAATTAACCTAATTTAGGTTTACTGGAATGATTGAAGAATGCTTTTATAAAAGTTGGTGAGTTGCAGCAATGTGCATTAAGATGTCTAGAACTATTTCTATTGTACATTAAAAGAAAATTTATAACAAAAAGCATGAGACATTTTGATGATTTCTCCCAATGGATTCATATATAAAGCCGTAGATACAACTTGTTATCTAAGAGAATAGATTGATTAGATATATCATCCAGTTGTCAGTTTTATCTTTATGAATGCATCATTACTACATAGTGTTTCTTTTTGAGCCTTATATACCCAAACTGGATCTATTTTAAATTTCATTCCATTCTACCTTTTGTGGCTCAATGAGATAAGCTTGTGCTGATGTACCAAGAGATCCAAGTGAGTTTTCTAATACATTTACCTTCAATTTTGTCAGTACAATATTTTCTGAAATGGGAAAATGGTCTAGAACTTCAGAGCATGAAAAACTGTAAACTGTTTTAATTTATGTTACATCTTAGTCTAGCATTTGATGTGTATTGATGTAGGTGCTTTTGAACTTTAGACAGCAACCTGGAAAACGTCAAATGATTAAATATAAACAGTTTAGCAATTACTAAGTTTTTAAGTTTTTTAGTATGGTAAATATTTAGGTATTAAGAAATTGATGAAATAGTCTATTTATTTTAGCAATATTAAGTTATAAGGATGAGTTTTTAAGTTGTTAATGGTTTCATTTTGATGAAATTGAAAACAATCGTGCAGTAAGTACTTTGATGTTGATAATTGAGAAGAAAATGTTATTATAAACCATATTGAGTAGATCAGGTTGCTGAGTGAAAACATTATATGTTACATATGCTTACTAATGAACATTTGTATAGAGAAATAATCTTCCATTTTAAACATCAATCATTTCTTAATAGTTCTTATTTAAACAGTGTAAAAACAACACTTGAAATTAACAGAAGAAGCTGCATTGAATTATAGACAACACCAAGCCTTATTTTATGTTTTATACTCCCAACTGGAACTTTCTAAGTCAAATATATCATATGGTTCACAAGAATCTGGGAATGGTTTCATTTCATTTCTTGAAAGTAATTCAAAAAGTAACTTATAACTTACTTACTTTTATTAACACCATTGCCAAATATGATATTGTTAGGTTTAAATATTATCTGCAGAAGTAATATTTGGTCAAATTTTCCTGGACATTTTTTCAGACAGAAAATATGCTTGATGCCAATAGAAACTCTAATGTTCCTTAAATACATACAAATTTAATTTTCTAATGACCTAAACAATAGTTACAAAATAATTTTATCATTTGAAATAATCAGAATTCATTTGTTTCAGAAATGGCAAGGTGAAATTCAGATGAAGAACACTTGTTTACTTACCACTTGGTCTTAGTATATTCTAGTTCTACTTTAAGAAATCAACACATAAAACATGCTGAAAACACTAGTTTCTGCTGTTACAAAACGCCAAGAAAACATGTAACTTGAATCATCTCTAGACAAAACAATCAGTAAATTACAAATTCCTAATTTCATGGACCAAAATCTACACAGTTTTTATATTACTGAGTTGAATAAGAACAGAGCAGACATTTAAATTGTATGTCTGTTAAAATCCATAAGGAGATCTTTTACTGTCAGAATTCTTTAAAATCACTATAAATCCTTCTTACAATTATCATAATTCTTATCTTCTGCTACTCTGAGCGGACCATTTTTATGACTTCTGTCCATTCAGACCCAATTTTATTTTCCTCATAAATATGATAATTTGGACAAGCGTAAATGTTCAGACTTAGAACTTGAAAAGTTTATCAACAAGAAGGGAGATGCTATGATAAAATTGTGGTTGTAGATTTGATTTTATTAGACAATAAAAATCGTGTAACTGACATGTATCAAAATAAACTTCTACAGTTTTATTGCTTTAAGATAGACTTCTGCTTGAGGTTAGAAGTTAAATAGATTTAAGTGTCTGATGTGGAAGGACTCTTGGGTCATAAAAATTCAACATTTTAGATTGCCTTAAAACACCTGTTTGGAATGCTAAACATATTTTTGTTTCCTTAGACAAATGTTTCTTCATTGGCCTTCAATGCTATCTTATTAATTCTATTTTATTAGCAATTTGATCCAGTTCAAAGTTGAGAACCTCTTAAACTTAATACCATACATGAATATTTTCGTTTTCGAATATGATATTAGACCAGATGCAGGCTTTTTATAGTTCAAAAGACTTTTTTGATTCATCTTTTAATAGGTTTTCATCAACAAAGACTCTTGTTTTATGAGCATCTATATTTTGCAAATAAAAAATTCATATCCCTTGAAATTGAAGAGCTATAAAGTCTGCAATAAATCTTTTATCATTTGATGTGATGTGTAAAAAAATGGCAGCTATAAAATTGACAGAGAGTTTTTAATATTAGAAAATATGGTATTTAATTGACTATTTCGTTAGTAATTGTGTATGATATATTGACATGCATACCAACCACTTTCTATCTTAACTATTTGTAGCATGATGTTTTGTTTCATTGAACTCTGTCACAGAATTTTTGATGCTTTTTTTATTCTGTCTGTACAACCTTCACCTCCCAGTAACCAGGACTTACATTTTTCATCAACATGTGAAAAAATTGCTTGTTCTTTCTTATCAGAAATTCTAGGTTTCTAGTTGTATCAGCCATGTCTATAATAACAAAACATCATACAAGTTCATCACTACACATCAAAAAACACAGTTTCAAACTAAATTGTCTCCTGGTTAAAATTCAATTAATACTATCTACAAAATATTGACCAAAAATAAACAAAAATTTGAGGGACATGTACAGTCTAAGATATAAAAGATAGTAAAGATAACAGGTTTATTAACTGATGAATGATTGGAATATTGTTGAGATATTAAATCATCAGTTAATATTGATATTAATAATAATAATATCACATCTTTTATAAATAGATCAATTTTTATATTACTTTATATTGATTGTTATATTATATCATCAATTTATAGTCTTCTTATAGTCTTTTCATTAATCATCTTATATATTCCTGACAGAAAGAGTTTTTGAGGTTCAATGTTTTCTGGTCAATATTAGAAGGCCCTTTCATAATTATTGAATAACCAATAAACCTGTGGTCGGATTGAAACCCAAAGGTAGTACATTGACCTGGACCAGATCTATCTTGGTAAGAGAACAAGCA